GTTGGTGATACCCGCATAAAAATATTTGTTGATGGCAGGGCAAGCCACAGTTTAATGGATGTGTCGAAAGCGAAGAAATTGCGACTGCAACTGGAGCGGTGTCTGCCTGAAATCGATGCGCGATTGGTCGATGGCACACCCCTGGCAATTCGGGAGCGAGTACCTCACGTGCGAGATACATGCGGCGAAAATTTCAGCTTTACGACGAAGATGCTGGCGACAACGTTGGACGGCTGCGACATGCTGCTGGGACGCGATTGGCTGCGCGAGTACAACCCGAGCATCGATTGGCGGACGGGTGACTGTCGAATCAAGTGGAGTGGCGAGTGGCGACGACTTCCGAAGTGGAACAATCCAGATTCTGCGACAGTCAGCGCGGTTACCATCAAGCGAGCGATGATTCGCGGGGCACAACTGTACGCCGTCAGATGGATCGCATCCACGGCTGTCAGCGCACCGGCCGACATCGACAAACTCTGCGCGGCAGTCCCCGACGACTTGGCGACATTGATCCGCAAGCATGCCGACATCTTTCCGGACGACCTACCGCCAGGATTGCCACCCGAGCGAGACCACGACCATAAAATCCAGTTGGAGCCCGGCGCGCAACCGACGGTTCGGACACAGTGGCGGCCGACTCAGCCAGAGCTAGATGAACTTGGACGCCAGCTGGATTACCTGCTCGAGAAAGGTTTTGTTCGACCCAATACTTCCCCGTTCGCAGCCCCGATACTGTTCACCCCAAAGAAAGATGGCGGTCTACGAATGTGCATTGACTACCGCGCCTTGAACCGGGTTACCATCAAGTCTCGCAATCCTATTCCGCGTGCCGACAAACTCATCGACCAACTTCGTGGGTCAAAGTTCTTTTCGAAAATTGACCTGCGAGGCGGTTACCACCAGATCCGTGTCAACGAAGCTGACTGCTACAAGACGGCGTTTCGAACCCGATACGGGAGTTACGAGTACACGGTCATGCCTTTTGGCTTAACCAACGCGCCTTCAACCTTCCAGTTAACCATGAACGAGGTTTTTCGGCCGCTGCTGGATAAACGCGTCATTGTGTACCTCGACGACATCCTCATATACAGCACTACCCGGGAAGCACATTTGAAGGATTTGGAAGCAGTCTTCTCTCTCCTGCAGCAGCATCGACTCATCACAAGGGTTCTAAGTGCGAGTTTCTGAAACAAGAACTGGAGTTTTTGGGCCACGTTATTTCCATCGACGGCGTTAAAATCGACCCGAAAAAAATCGCGACCATACAAGACTGGAAGCCGCCGGCTAATCTCCGCGAACTTCAAAGTTTCCTAGGGTTTGTGAATTACGTTCGTCGGTTCATCCCGAACATGGCGGGGGTAACTTCCCCTCTTACGGATCTTCTGAAGAAAGGCAAGTTTTATGAGTGGGGGGGAGAGCAGCAGGCTGCGTTCGACCAACTCAAACTTTTCCTGACAACACATCCGGTTCTTCGCATTGCAGATCCTCACCGTCCGTTCGAGCTCATCACGGACGCTAGCGACCTGGCTGTTGGCGCAGTACTGTTACAGGACTTCGGCGAAGGCCTTCAACCCATCGCCTACGAGTCACGAAAGCTGAATCCGGCCGAGCGAAATTATCCCGTCCACGACAAGGAGTTACTCGCCATCGTTCACGCGTTCAAGGTTTGGCGCTGCTACCTGACGGGCGCTGATGTGACAGTCCGAACAGACCACAAATCGCTACAGTTCATCCGCGCCCAACCGACACTCAACCCCCGACAGATTCGCTGGCTCGATTACCTCGAGTCGAATTTCCACTACAGAGTCACCTACAAACGAGGGGCTAGCAACATCGCCGACGCACTGACCCGCCCTTCAGTCCATACCGCCGCTGTCCTAATCACCCAAACCAATCCGCTGCTAACTGGACTATTTACCCACGGATACAGTACCGACCCATTCTTCACGACTAACAGTCATCCCCAACTGACAGTCAAGCAGGGGGCTTATTACATAAAATCCTGTACCAATCGGATTTGGGTTCCCGCTTACCGTACCCTACGCGAGCTACTGATACAGGAGGCACACTTTTTCGAATTTCTCGGGTCACTACGGCATCGACAAAACTGCCAAATTACTGAGCCGTAATTATTACTGGCCCGATTTGCCGACGGACGTGCAGCAGTACGTCACCTCATGCGCCACGTATCAAAGCATGAAGTCGTCACGACTTCGACCTGCGGGATTACTGCAGCCGCTCGAGCCACCCAGCCGACCCTGGCAACAAGTGACGATGGATTTCGTCACTGGCCTGCCAGCTGGGCCAAGCGGTAATGTCGTGATTCTCGTCGTCGTTGACCGTTTGACCAAAATGGCACACTTCGCCGCCTGCAAGCAACAATCACTGCCGAGCAGACAGCGAAGCTGTTTCTCACGAACATCGTGCGGCTACACGGCATCCCTTCGGCAATCATCAGCGATCGCGACCCTCGGTTCACGTCCAATTTCTGGACAAAAACCTGGCAGCAGTACGGCACACGTCTGCATCTGTCGACGGCATACCACCCGCAATCGGACGGCCAGACCGAGCGCACCAATCAGACGATGGAGCAGCTGATTCGTACAACGTGCACAGACCCGGCACAGTGGGAAGATTCTCTTCCACTGATCGAGTTTGCGTACAACAACGCCCCATCAGCCACAACTACTCAGTCCCCGTTCTTCCTTAATTACGGGATAGACCCGACAACCCCCCTATCGCCACCGATCGAAAATCCGGCACCCAGATCGCAGCAGTTCGTCGAAAACCTCCGACAGACTCAGCAAAAAGCCGCTGATGCCATTCTCAAAGCCAACCAACGGGCTAAGCAGCAAGCTGACCGACGACGCCGTGACTTAAACCTTGCCCCTGGGCAATTGGTCCTGCTCGACACTCGAAATTTGGGGATTCCCTCCCAAATAAACTACGACCAAGATTTTGCGGCCCATTCCGCATAATCCGCATGGTGACTCCCGTCACCGCCCAGCTGCAACTACCGGCCGACTGGCGCATTTACGATTCATTCCACGTCAGTCTCCTGCGACCGTTCGTCCCGAATACAACTGATCTCGACCGTCAACATATCAATCCTACGGTCAACCCAGTACCCGAGCCGACGATCGAGCCATCGAAGATTCTCGCTCATCGCGTACGAGGTTCTCGCGATACAGCAGCCGTTGATTTCCTTGTACGATGGGTCGATCGCACGACTGATGACGACCTCTGGGTCCCCGCAGCTATGCTCGGTGAACACAACGTTGTCAAGGACTATTTACACCAACGACGTGTCCCGGATGTGGGTAGTCTCATCCTGGAAGGGGGGGTGGTGTAAGGAAAATTCCTTTTCCTTACTGGGCTCAACTACAGCGCGTACGCCCTCGACCCTCGGAAGACCAGGCCCGGCCATTTTCCTCGGTCCCGAACCATTTCGTAAACCCAAACCTAATGCGCGGCGCCTCCGTGGCTTTCGCCAACCGAATTGCCCTAACCTGTTTGCGAGGTTCTCGGCTAGCCCTGTTGTGCTTATAAATGCCTAGGTCCTCATTTGTATTGACGACTCTTGAATCACGACCCTTTTATTACACTACCTGTTATTACTCTGATTAATTCATAACAGCCTTCGGTTTCGCCAGCGTAACTGGGTACCAAGCATTTGACTCTTGGTCGAAACCTAGAGTTATAAGAATCGGGCTTTAAAACCCGCGGCCCAAATTGCGAGGCGCGGCCTTCAAATGCAGTGCGGTTGAAAGTTGCGTTTTCGTGGGTGTATTGGGGGGTGACGAGACACTTGCCACTCAGGGGTGCTGTTCAAGTTCAGTATGAACACGAGGTATTGTGCGTTTTTCAACCGTCCTGTTTTTTTTTTTTTTTTTTTTTTTTTTTTCCCCGTTTTCCATCTGACGGCGCGCAGTCAGACGAAACGTGATCTCATCCGTCAAACTGTCTGTTTGCAAATCTGACGGTCCACACAAGCATCCAGTTTGCGAGACCAGCCTCGCGCGATCTTCCGACGTATTTCCTACAGCCCCAGGGCCAAAGTTCATACGCAGTGCATTTGAACAATTTGGGCCGCGGGTTTTAAAGCCCGAGTCTAGAATGGTAAAAATCCATGTTTACTGACCATGAAAACAGTGCCAAAAACGCTGGGCGAAACCAATTTCGGCAAAGCTCCCCTGGCGAAAACTTTTTCTCTGCGAAAATTTTATGTTGCTTGCGACGCAAAAGAAACCCAACAACTTGCAATCAACAGTTCGCAAACAGTGACGACTTTGGGGAGGGGGGGCGAACTGTACACGGCTGTTCTCGTGTCACGAGCCCCAGCAAAAAATGCGTCTAGAATGGTACCAGGCGTTTTCAAGTTCAGTATGAGTGAACAGTGAGTTCGAGGTTTGTCTCAAATAGCGAATTTCGCACGCTGCCCCATTTCCCCGAGGGTCGCGACGTGGAGGTACCCTTCACTGGGTTACTCACTTTTACGAAAACAAGTTCAGGAATCCTGAACTTGATAGCCAACCAATGTAGACTCGGGCTTTAAAGTCTTATAATCTACAATACCTCGATCATCAGAATTAGGGATGGGTGGGAGCGTGCTGGTTTTCCCGCTCCGCTTCGTGCTGCACGTCTCTGCGCCCAAGAGCCAACCGCCCTCAATCAGAACCACCAGGGAGCGCCTCGCCCTCCAGACCCCCCCCTCCCCAACTCCCCTCCTCCCCACCCCACCTCATCGCCGGCGCACGCACACACGCCGCAGAGGCGAACGCACCCACCGCGCCACTGTGATGTCACCGCCACCCGCCGTGCGCCAGCCCCGCAACAACTTGCACTCTGCTCTCCGCTCCCCGCGCTCCCCACCCGCACAGCCTCTCACCACTTCCCCCCAACCGAACCAAAGCCCCCAGCCTCCCTCCCCTCCCCTCCGCCCCTTCACCTCAACCGCGCGGATTAGGGTTCCTGTATAGTCCGCCCAGTCGTTCACTCTCCACTTCACCTGAGCAGCCATTTCAAGTGATTGGCTGCTGCTGTCGCTCGCGATACGTGCGACATGAGGGCTCTCAGTCTCTTAGCTCGGCTGAATTGGGGAAATTAGAGAATGGGTGATGTCTTTTGTGCCTTTCGCAATCTCTAAGACTCGAAATTGTCGGCAAGTGATCGGCTTTTTGTGGCCATGGCTCGAGACGGCGAAGGAAAAATCGGTGTAGGTGGGCGTGTTCCGGACTCGATAGCAGGTCAGGGTAGCGCATCAGCCGATGCGAGGAAGGGCTTGGCTGCGGGCGAGGTTGGCGGTGGAGGGAAAAGCGCAGCGGGTCAGGTCGCGCTGGCGATTAATCGAGTGAAGGGTGGATTGAAAGACGGAGAGGGTGCCGATGACGATGATGATGAAAAAGATGAAGACTCGGAGGAGGAAGAAGAGGAGGAGGACGAGGAGGAGGAGGAAGAGGAGGAGGAAGAGGAGGACGAGGAGGAGGAAGAGGAGGAGGAGGAGGAGGAGGAGGAGGAGGAGGAGGAGGAGGAGGAGGAGGAGGAGGAGGAGGAGGAGGAGGAGGAGGAAGAGGAAGAGGAGGAGGAGGAGGAGGAGGAGGAGGAGGAGGAGGAGGAGGAAGAGGAAGAGGAGGAAGAAGAGGAGGAGGAAGAAGAGGAGGAAGAGGAGGAAGACGATAGCGACAAGAAAGCGAAGGCTCTTAAGGCACAAACGAGCATTAGGAAAACGCTGGGGGGCATTGGGGGAAGGTCTATGATTGTGCGGAGGCAGCCGTTACGCGACTCAGAACTCTCCTCCACCGCCGCCGCTGCCAGCGTGCCCGCGTCCCCCCGGGGTGCGCCCTCAACGGCGGGGAAGCGGAAAGAGGGCGCTAGTGAGCGCAAGCGGAGCAAGCGCAGGCGGCAGGGGGTGGACGCATGGCAGCTCGCGTATTTTGCGGCAGTGGCGCGGCGGCAGGCGGTGTCGCTGCGGGAGGAGTCGGAGCGCGTGTGGCTGGAGGCGGATCGCGTGCTGCGCCACACCAGGCGGCTCGGAGAAACTGCGGCGGCGGCTCTGGATGCGACAGCAGCCGCCATTGACGGTATGGCGCAGGTTGGGCGGCCAAGCAGCTGGGGGAAGGGCGCAGCGGGGAGCTCGCGGAACAGAAGTTGGAAGGGCGCGAGCGCCGGTACTGCGCGCGGGGGGGAGAATGACGGGGGGCTGAACCTGCTGGGGGGATCGGCGTTCCGGGTGTCGCGGATGGTGACGAAGAGTCGTAGAAAGCGGGAGCCGGGCGCGGAGAGCGATGGCAGCAACAGCAGCAGCAGCAGCTCTGATAGCGACGCGCTTGCCCCGCTGAAAGTGCCCGATTCCGGGGATGACGGCGGCGGCGGGGACGCGCCAGGCGGCGGAGTCCGGCGGCTGGGGCTTGGCGCGCTTGCGAAGTCCGTGATGCGGCTGCACGGGGTTAGGGGGCGCAGGGGAGCGGCGGCGGGCAGGGGAGCGGAAAAGGGGAGCGCGTCTGTGAGCGGGAGGGGGAAATCGGAGAGGGAGGAGAGGGAGAGGGAGAGTGAGGAGGAAGAGGAAGAGGAGGCGGAGGAGGAGGGGAAGGAGGGTGATGGTGAAGGGAAAGAGGAGGAGGATAGCGACGCCGTGCTATGGGACGAGGAGGACGTGATAGCAGCGATAATGGCGGCAGCAACGGCGTCGGACCGCGGGCTAGACGAGGGCCTCGCGCTCTGGGACGCGGAAGCCGTCTCTTCAGGCGGCGCGAAGCCCGGCACGAAGCACTTCAAGCGCGCTGCCATGCTCTCGATGCTTGCCTCCACCTTCGTGCGCGCGGTGGGCTCGCGCGGCGTGGACGTCGCCGCCACTCCGCTTGCTGCCGGCACGCCAGCGCCCGGCACGCGCGGGCTGTGGGGCCGCGCGGTAGGCGCGGTATCGAAGCCGGGGTTGGCGCTGTCAACCCCTTCCGCCGTTTCGTCCAGTATCCCTTCCGCAGTTCCCTCCGTCGAGCATTCCGCGGGTCCTCCGCAAAGTCGCTTTGCGGAAGGGGGTCCGCGCGACTTGTGGGGCCGCGCAGTGGGGGCGGTGTCAGGGCAGGGGTTCGCTGCTGCGCCTTCCGCCGGTTCTCCAGGGATGGGCGGGGCGCGCGCTTTATGGGCTCGCGCGTTTGGCGCCGTGACAGAGCCAGAGCTTCCGCCGCCGCTGCACATTCTTCCGCGGGGTCTTTCCGCCGCGGAGCTTTCCGCGCTTGCATCCGCGGGTTCACCACTTCCTCCCCCAAGCAACGTGGCGGAGGGCAATGCGCGCGCCTTGTGGGGCCGCGCGCTGGGTGCGGTGACAGGTCCAAACCTTCCGCTCGGAAGCGCAGCCCCGACTCTCTCCGCCGCGGACGGTGGCGCGAGGGCGCTCTGGGGCCGCGCAGTGGGCGCGGCGACAGGGAATGGGCCGCGGGACGAGGAGCGCGGAGGGTGGGGTGGGCGGAAGCAGAGGCTGCGCGGGCGGCAGTTGTCGTTACCCAAGAGCGAGGAGCTAGAGCAGATGGCGGAGATGGCGACTATGATGCAAGAGGTGTCGCGCCAGCGGGTGGAAGCGGCGCAGCGCGCCAGCCTGCTGCTCGCGCAGGAGAGCGCGCTGGCGCACGCGCACATGTACGGCTATGGGGGGTATGCGCCCCTGCACCCGCACGCGGACCTGCATGCGCGCCCCGCCTTCGCGCCCCTCCACGCCCCCGCGCACCAATCGTCGCCCCTTTCTCCCTCCGCGCATCCAGCCTTCCCCATGCACCGCGCGGACAAATCCTCCCCTTCCGCGCCCAGCCCTCGCGGCAAAGGGTTCTCCCCCGCTGCTGCGCCCGCCCATCCGCAGCAGCAGCAGTCAGGGGGAGCATCCCCCGGGGGGCGCCCCCTGGAGCGCGCGTGGGGCATGAGGAGCGCGGACCAGGCGGCGGGGGGAAGGATGGCTGGAGCGCGCGGAGAAATTGGGGGAAGGGGGAATGGGGGGGGGGAGGGGATGCACAGATGGCAAGGAGAGAGGGGCGCAGTGTGGGGATGGGCAGTGGGCGCAGTGATGGCGCGCGGGGGGGAGGGGAGAGCTTGGGGGACACGGAGGAAGAGCAGGAGGAGCTGGAGAGGGAGTGGAAGAGAGAGAGGGAGAGGGGGAGAGAAAAGGAGACAGGGGGAGGAGAGAGGGGGAGTGAGGGGGGCAGGAGGACGTTGAAGCATGGGCGGAGGGGCAGGGAGGTAGGGCAGGGTAGCGGCAGCGACAGCGGTAGCGATGAGGAGCAATCGACAGGGCGGTCGGGAGATCGGGACTATGGCTTGGGGGGGAGGGACGAGGGCGGGGGGGAGAGAGCGATGGGGCGGAGGCGGAGTGGGTCAGGGGCGAGTGGAGTGAGAATGGTGCTGGCAGCGCAGCAGAGGGCGGGGCGGGACGGGGGCGGCGGGGGGAAGGGGTCGGAATCGGAGTATGACACAGAGGCGGAGGAGCAGAAGGCGCAGAAGGAGAAGGAGCGGGACTGGCTGCGGGAGAAGAGCCTGGAGGTGGAGGCGGCGGGGGACACGGAGGGCGAGGAGGAGCTGCGCGCGCGGGAGAGGGCGCGGCAGCTGGTGCGGCGGCCCGAGCTGAAGCGCAGCTCGTGGAAGGACTGGGAGGGGGGCGCGCAGGGCACGGGGGACGTGTGGGAGGACGCTCACCTCGCTGCTGCGGAGAAATGGGGCGAGCGCGGGGGAGGCGGGGGGGAGGAAGGGGGGCGGAGCAGCAGTGGGAGGCAGAGTGGTGTGGGCGCAAGGGGGAGGGAAGGCCCGGGAGGTGAGCAGGGCAGGGGAGGGGGAGGGGGAGGAGGAGGAGCAGGAGGTGGGTTGGTGAGGCAGGAGGGACTGCGGGAGAACATGCTAGTTGACAGTGGACCCCTCAACGCCCTACCAGCACCCAAGGACCCGAATCAGCCACGCCCTCCCAACGCCCCCATGCAACCCACCAGCTCCACCTCTCCTTCCCCTTGCAACCCCCCTGCACTGCCGGCCAAGCCTGGTATGCTGGGCAAGCCTGGGCCGCCCCCCCCTTTGGGGCCAGCTAGTGGGGGCAGCTTACTCAACTCCCATGGCTCGGCCGACTGGTCCTCTGCTGCAGTCTCTTTCCCTCGCTCGGGCAGTGGCAGTGGCAATGGCAGCGGCAAGAGCAGCGGCAGGGGCGTGCTTCCAGAGGGAGGAGCTGCAGGAGGCGGTACGATGGCGGCTGCAGGCGGGAGTGCCATCTCCTCATCCGCCACGTCATCCGGAGCCACGTCAGCAGCTGCAGTCCCGCCTCTGCGCCGATCGCAGACAGCCGGAGGGCAGGAGGTGGGGCGGTATGTGGGTGGGGGGGGTAGGGGAGGAGCAGGAGCAGGGGCAGGAGGGGGAGTGATGGGAGCAGGAGGGCCAGGTGTGGGGGGAGGAGCAGCAGCAGCAGCAGCATCAGCAGCAGCAGGGGGTGGGGGAGGTGGCGGCGGCGTGTCTGGCAAGCCGCCCCTAGCATGGGCGCCTCAGGGCTCTCGCAATCTACTGAGAGCTGTCTCCCTGGGCCGCCACGCCATGCCTCAAGGCACCTTCCGCCCCCGCCTCCCCCCCGGCCTCGTGCTGGGGGGAGGTGGAGGTGCTGGCGGAGATGGGGGGAGAAAGGGGGGAGTGGGGGAGAACAGCGTGGAGGACCATGGGTCGGACAGCGAAGGCAGCAGCCATAACAGGAACAGCTACAAGAACAGTAACAGTACCATGAACAGTATCACAGGGGGGACAGGTAGCCCAGGAGCGGCAGACTCAGTCCCCCAGGAGGGGCTGTCGCACTCCATGTCCCTGCACCTGCCCCCACGCTCCCAGTCTTATGGCCCCCCCAGGGTTGGCCCCCGTGGAATGGCAGCAGGAGGGGCAGCGCCAGCTGGGGGGAGCCTGTCCCGGCAAGTAGGGTACGGTGGGGGTGCACTGGGGGAGGGTGATGGTGGAGGCATGGCGATGGTGCGAGGAGGAAGCGAGAGGGGGAGGGCACGTGGAGCGGAGGGTGGGGATGGAGTGCAGCTGGTGCGCAGCATGAGTGTGGATCCAAGAGCTAAGCCTGGCAGCAAGCGTGCAGTGGGGGAGGGAGGTGGGAGGATGGTGCTACCGGAAGTAGATCCTAGTAACTTCAGCAAGACACACTCGTTCCATATGGCACCCTCATCCAGGAATGCAGGTTTGCAGGCGGCAAAGGACACTTAAGGGGGGGGCGCGAGGTGAGAGAATAAGGAGCGCAGGCTATTTACCTCTGACCAGTAGAAGCACGTGTGCCAGTTGGTTGAGCAACTCGTTGTAGGTCCTGACCTAACTTATGGAGTCACTTCCTTAGGTCCCTAACATTCTCATAGCGGCGTTCCATTCTCCCCTAGGAGTAACTTGCAGATTACGATTATTCTGCAGTAACCTGATCACATTTTATTTTAACAGCTGTGAGCATCGAGGACTAATATTTTCACTTGCTACTATGAAAACAAATATGGTACCTTTTTATTTGCGAATAATAGCTTCATCTGAGCTGTACCCTTATTGCAGCACCACGAGATTTGAGCAACGTGCGCCGTTCCCAAAGTCAAACACTTCCACAAGAGCGGGTGCCATGCAGAGTGCGTGCCTCTTGGTGCCACCCCTGCGTTTTTCGAGGGGGCTGGCATCACACATTCAACTGTACTTCGTGAGTTCGCGATGTCGACGACGTGTCGTGTAACCACGTCGGCATGTCGCGGAAACTGCTGGTGTCAGCCTTTCCCTGGCATCGATCAGCCCCAAATCCGTGCGGCGACGAATCCATGCTGCCGAGTCGCGTCAAGCTTGATTTCGCACACCACTCATCCAGCCCTGGAATTGTTCAAGGCCCATTCACGAGCCGCGGTGTGATCCACGCGGCAGGCTGCGACACGACGTCACCCTCGAGGGGGCCGGTCTTTTGAAAAGGGTAGCGCGACGCGAGAGTGATTCCGTCAAAAGGGCATTCCCGAGGGCGTGGGCTCTCAACTTCTCACCACCAGCAGCAGCAAGCACCTTCCCTCGCTCCCAGCAGCAGCAGCAAGCACCATTGCTCGCTTGTCAGGCGAATATCCCGAAAAAAGCTCATAGCCGCCACAATCAATACACACCCCACCCTCGAGCCATATTGAAAGAGGAATGAATGACGGACGCGCGACTTAGTTCTAGTCCGTGGAATAAGCTTAGAAACCAGTTGCACTGATGGATTTTACTCTCTCCTGTATGTGTGTGAAGGGCTGAAATCTGCTTAGAAGGTCGGAATAGTGCGGTATTTGCGCTTGACGCAACAAGGCCCGATCTAGCAACCATAATCGCTGAAAGAGGAATTCTAGCGTGTAATCCGCTGGATAGCCGACTGCGCAACGATGTTCAAAGGCCTGCGTTCCCGCAGCAAGGAGAAATTCGAGTTTCGGCTTCGCTTCCACGCCACACGCGTATGCTCCCAACCTCTCCCGAGCAACTCGTCCCTCTAGCCCTTATACTCCAAGACGCATCGCCATTGATCCTACATAAAGCGCGTGCCTCGATTCGCGCCACCACGCTTGAAAACCGCCTAATGAATTCATTTTACCCCCTCCCTCCCTTCCCCCCCCCCACCTCCCCCCCCCTCTCCCCGTGCAGCTACCGCCGCTGAGCCATGAGTGTCTGCACGTGTCGCTGTACCAGGACACGGGGCGCCTCCAGAGCCAGACGAGCCGCGCGGGTGTGAAGAACGGCGCGTGCCAGTGGGTCGACATGCTGACGGAGGTGGTGAAGCTCACCCGCGCCAAGGGCAGCAAGGCGTACGACGCCAAACACTACCGCCTCGTCGTCGCCTCGGTCCGTCGCCCACTCCGCCCCCACCCCCCTAGCTTCACACTCCCCTTGCGAGGCGGTTCATATTCTAATATTCTATGGGTTAATATTTCATCTGTGCTGCCGCCTCCTCATCCAATCGCGCCCTCATGTGCACTCGGTGCTCGGATCCCGTCGCTCTCCTGCCCCCTCTGTCTGCCCCAGGGTCCGTCCAAGGCGTCCATTCTTGGCGAGGCGTCTCTGAATCTCGCCGATTTCGCCGCATTTTCGCAGCTGGACCAGCGATCTCTGCCGTTGCGCTGCTGCGAGGCGGGCTCCGTGCTGCATGTACGTACGTGGTGCCGATCGCCATGCACGGCGGAAGGCCGCCACACCCACACCATGCGCTTCTTTCCTTTACTTTCCGGTCCGTTCACTTTCCCCTTCTCCATCTCCCCTTTCCTCTTGCTACCCTTTTATAGCTTCCGCCTGAGCCGTCCACGCGGCATGCATGTGTGTGCGCGGTGATCGTGCAGGTGACGGTGCACTCCATTCCGCTCGAGAACCGTCACGCGCCCAACTCGCACTCCGAGTGAGCCCCCCTCTCCCTCCCACTCCCTCCCGCTCCTTGTCCTCCTACGCGCCTCCTTCTTTAACTCTTTTCTTTTTTCAATCGTCGCGTTCTGCCATTTCGAAAGTTACCACCCAGAACGAACACGACTAGCCGCACGCACGGTACCCGGAAGTCTCCTGCCCGCAACCCGCGCCTCCTGGCCCCCCCGGATTCCCCCCGTCTCGTCGCCACCTCCCCGCAGCGACGAGTCCGAGTCGCTGGACGGCGCGGCGCCGCGCTCACCGCTCTCCCTGTCCTTCACGCGGCACCGGCCGTACGACACGGAGAGCGAAGACGACCGCGGAGACGAGCGCGAGGACGACGACCGCGGGAGGGCGAGAGGCACGGCGGACGACGAGAGTGAGGCGGAGGAGCGCATGTACGCGAGGGGGGCGCGGTCGCGGTCTGGACGGTACAGCAGCAGCGTGGCGTCGGAGCCCGCGGACTCGCTGCCCGCCACACCCGTATCCAAACCCGCCATCGCTTCTGCCGCTGCGCTCTCCAAGGTACGCGCGCCGATTGATGTTCTATAGGCCGCTGGCAGCGCCTTGCGTGGGTGCAACGTTCGTAGGGGGGGGAGAGGTGGTCGAGGGAGGGCAAGTGCTGATCAAGAGTCTGTATGCTGCCCCCCTCAGATCATTCCAGCTGCTCTGCTTCCGCAGCGGGGTGTGCATGCGTGCCTCTCAGAAATACATTAGAAATACCTTAGAAATACATTAGAAATACCTTAGAAATACATTAGAAATACCTTAGAAATACATTAGAAATACCTTAGAAATACATTAGACTCGCCTTGGGTCCCGTTCGTCCCAGTGGCCTCCTCTGCTTGCACTTACTTCTCCCCTCCACTCCCCCCTCTTCGTTCACTCCACCTCTCCACCTCTTCTCCTCTGCCCCCCCCCCTCCCGCCTCCGCCATCCAGTTGCAGCTTTTCACCGGCTCGGAGCGCTCCTTGACCGCGCCATCCACGCCGCCCCGCTCGCTGCACTCCCCGCGCACGCCACCGCCGCTCGCGCAGGTATGGCCTCCGCACCACGTGCCCGCGCACAACTACTATGCGCGGGTCGTCCCAGTAGTGCTGTGAAACTGCACTCCCCCACCTCATTGCCTTTTGCGCCAACCGTTCCCGAACTGCCCCCCGGACGCCGGAACTCACCCGCTACTTCCCTCTCCCCCCTCCCCACAACCCCCCCACCTCTTCCGCGCCTTCTCAGGTCACCTCAGGCCCCTCGGCGCCTGACTTTTCCCTCTCCCCGCCCCCCACCCTCCGCGCGCACCATCTGCCCCCCCGCAAGCACGACCCCGACTACGCGCGCGACAGCGATCGCGACTTAAGCGACGCGACGCCAGCGGCGCCGCCGCCGCCGGCGCCTGGAGGAGGCTTTACACGCGGCCTTAGCAGCCCGCGCGCTTCGCCACGTCATTCCTCCCTGTCTGACGTGTCTCCGCCTCTCGAACCCCCGCCGTTCCTTCACTCCGCCCGCGCCTCGTCCCGACCCAGCTCCCCCATGCGCGCAGCGGGCAGCGCGCGCATGGGAGGAGCCGGCGGAATGGGGGGAGTAGGCGGCGGTTGGCGCGGAGAAGGTGCGGGCGTAGGCGGAGTTTCCGACTGCGCGGGAAGCGGCAGTGTGAGCGGAAGCAGCAGCAGCGTGGGGGGATGGAGCATAGCGCGCGGAAGCAGCGCGTCTATAAGCCGCAGCAGCAGCTGCGCAAGCAGCCATGGCGGGTGGTCCATGGGCTCGTTCCGTGGAGCGCAGTCGCCCGTCAGTCGGAAAACCCTGCTGGCGGATCTCCAGCAGCAGCAGCAGCAGGCGGGGGGCATGGGGCCGGACGTAAAGGCAACGCTGGCGCAAGCGGAGCGGAAAGTGGGCGCAAGCGGAACGGAGGTTACTCGTGCGTCCTCCGGCGCGGGTGCTGGTGGCGCTGGGCAGGGCGCGGGGATGCGGAATGCGGCAGATGGCATGGCGCTGAATGCGCGGGTGAATGTTTACGGTCAAGCGGAGTCCGGGGGCAGGTCCGCGGGCAGTTCCGCCACGCATCCGGCGGAACCGGGGGAGCTGCGGGGAGCGGAGGCCGGGGCGTGTCGGATCAGCAGGAGTAGGAGCGTAAACGGTGGGGCGGAGGGGGGAAACGACGCGCTGGTAGCGGCGGACGGCGCTGCCGCGCGAGTAGCGGAGGAGTCTAACGTTCCGGGGTGGCAGGTGGAGCGGCTGCGGGCGCAAATTGCGCGCGCAAGGGCGCAGCAGACGAAGGTGGAGGAGGAGCGCGACCGGCTGGCGGAAGAGCTGCGCCGCGCGCAGGCGGAAAGCCGCGCAGGCGGAAGCGGGGGAGCCGGAGGTGGGGGGACGGGCACCCTCGGGGCAACGACCAGCAGCAGCAGCAACGGCAGCGGAAGCGGATTGTGGGGGAGCGGGTGGGAGGCGAGCGGGGGGGAGGGGAGCGGCGGGGAGGGGGCGCATAGCTCGACGGACGGCGGGGAGAGCAGCGGACGGGAGGCGATGGAGGAGGCATTGCGGGCGCGGGAGGACGTGGCGCGGCTAAGGGAGGAGGTGTCGCGCGTACGGGAGGAGGCGCGGTACTACAAGGACGTCAGCGCGCGACTGACGGCGCAAGTGGACATGCTGCGGGTGAGTTGGCGGAGACAGACTGCGGGAAAATCCACTCTTTTCGCCCCATGGACAGTTATGGGCGAAGATGGGCAAAAGAGCGGGCATGCTGCGGGTGAAGGCCTTGGACTAGAGGTAGAGCGAAGGGTGATGGAACCTGAGTGCATGTTTGTGTGTTGCTCCTTAACCCGACAAATTTCAGCCTGTGATTTGCTCTCGTTTTGAGGCACCTCAAAACTTGGCCTCGCTCTACTCCGCTTGCATGCCTCGCTCCCGCTTCCCCGTCCCCCCGCCAGTCCACCAACGATTCGCTCAAGCAAGAAGCGCGCCAAGCCACGGAAGACGCCAGCAAGGCGCGCCGGGAGGCGCAGGAGCTGGCGGCGGCGGGGAGGGAGCGGGAGCGCGCGCTGCGCCGCATGGAGGGGGCGGCGGAGGAGAAGGACCGGGCGTGGCGGGACCGACTGCAGCGGCTGGCGGAGGAGCGCGGAGATCTCGAGACGAAGCTCCGGCGCGCGGAGGCGGAGCGGGAGGAGGCGGAAGAACAGCTCCGCGCGCTCAGCGATTCTCGAAGGGGCGGGAACGGGGAGAGCGCAGGGGGTAGCGCGGAGGAGTTGCGGGAGTTGCGCGCGCGGGTGGCGGAGAGCGAGCGCGAGGTGGAGGAGCTGACGCAAGAGAGCCTGCAGCTCGCGGCGGGGCTGAGCGCCGCGCGGAGAGATGTGGCGGAGCGAGAGGCGCGGATTAAGGAGCTCCAGGTGCAGGTGAGCGTGCTGCAGCGGTGGGAGAGGCGGGAGGAACGGCGGAGTAAGGGGGGAGATGATGGGGGGGTGAGGCGGAGAGAGGAGGGCGGAGGGGATGAGAGCAGTGAAGGCGCGGAGCAGGTGCAGCAATTGCAGCAACAGCTGCGGCGGCAGGAGGAGCAGGCGCAAGCGGCGGAAGAGCAAGCGCGACGACTGGAGGAGCAGGTGCAAGCGGCGGAAGAGCAAGCGCGACGACTGGAGGAGCAGGTGCAAGCGGCGGAAGAGCAGGCACAAGCGGCGGACGAGCAGGCGCGGCGACTGGAGGAGCTGCGCGCGGAGCTGGAAGCAGCAGTGCAGCGCGGCAGGGAGCAAGCGGAGGAAGCGGAGAAACGCGCGGAGCAGTTGACGCAGCAGCTGGCGGACGCGCATAGGGCCGCGTACGACGCGGAGGAGGCGCAGAAGCGCGCGGAGGGGAAGGCGCGACTGGCGGAGATGAGCGCGGAGCGGCTAGGTAACCGCGTGCGCGCGCTGACGCCCCTGGAAGGGCGCGTGGGGGAGCTGGAAGAGGAGCTGCGCGTGGGGATGGAGCGCGTGCGCGTGCAGGAGCGGGTGAAGGCGGAGGCGGAGGCGCGCGCGCGACAGCAGGCGGAGCTGCTGGCGGAAGTGCGGGTGGAGCTGGAGGACGAGGTGCGGCGGCTGGGCGACCAGGTGGAGGGCCTGCAGCAGCGGTGCAGAGCGGTGCAGGGGGAGAGAGACCGGCTGGAAGGGGAGAGGGACAGACTGCAGGGGGAGGTGAAGCAAGCGAGCGCGGCCCTGGCGCAAGCGGGCAAGGCGGAAGAGGAGGGGAGGCGCGCGCGGGAGCAGGTAGAGGCGATGAGGCGGGCGGTGGAGTCCCTGGAGAGAGGCAAGAGAGACGCGGAGGCGGAGGCGAAGGGCGCTAGGGACGCGCGGCGAGCGGCGGACGTGAGAGTCGAGGAGCTGACGGTGCAGCTGGCGTCGCTGAGAGAAGTGCTGCAGGAGCAGGCGGAGCGCGCAGAAGCGGGGAGGAAGGCGGCGCAGGCGCAGGCAGAAGTGCAGGGATTGGTGAGGGAGGTGGCGCGGTTGAAGGAGGAGGTGGAGAGGGAGAGGAGGGGGAAGAGCACGGCTGAAGAGGTGGTGGTGGTGCTGCAGGGGAAGGTGAAGGAGGTGGGGGAGAGAGTGAAGGAGCAGGAGGAGCGGTGCGCGGAGCAGCAGCGGGTGGTGGAGGAGAGGGAGAGGCAGAGGCGGGACGCGGAGGGCAGGGCAGCGCGGCTGGAAGAAGCGCTAAGGACGGTGGAGGATGAGCTGGCGCACAGCCTGGCTTTAAGGAGGCAGGTGCAGGAGAGGGAGGTCCAGCTGGAGGCTGAGGTGGCAGAGCTGACGGGGAATGCTGCCAGGCTGGCGGCGGCTGTGCGGGCAGCGGAGGAGAGGCTGGCGGAGGCGGAAGAGGAGGCGGAGAGGATGAGAGGGGAGATGGGGAGGATGAGGGGCGAGCAGAGGGAGGCGGAGGAGAGATTGGCGGAGGTGGAGGAGGCGAGGAGACGGCTGGCAAGAGAGGTGGAGCGGGGGGCAGCTGCGGGTGCTGCGAGTGCTGTGCGAGGGGAGGGTAAGGCAGGGGGCAGGGGAGAGGAGCAGGAGGTACGGGGAGAGGGAGGGCGGGCAGAGGTGGGGGAGATGGCAGGGAGCGGCGGTATGGAGCAGCAGCTGTGGGGGCGGCTGGAGGAGCTGCTGGGTGAGAAGGAGGAGGCGGTGCAGCGGGCGGTGAGGGTGGAGGAGGGCATGCGGCGGGAGAGAGTGGCGTGGGAGGTGGAGCGGGAGGAGGTGAGGGGCGAGGTGGAGCGGATGAGGGGCGAGGTGGAGCGGATGAGGGGAGAGGTGGAGCGGATGAGGGGAGAGGTGGAGAGAGTGAGAGCAGAGGCGGAGAGGGCCAAGAGAGAGGTGGAGAGGGTGGAGGAGGAGCTGAGTAAGACCAGGGAGGCGGCTGCTGCTGCTGCTGTGGCAGCGGAGGGGGGCAGTGGCGGTGGGAGGGTGACTGGCACAGGGGAAGGAGCAGGAGCAGGAGGGGGAGGGAAGGGGGTGGGAGGAGAGGGGCCTGCGAGGAGGCTGATGAGCCAGATGCAGCGGTGGAGCTGGGTTAGTGCCAGTGCTGCCACTGCTGCTGCCGCTGGTGTTGCCTCTGGTACCACCACTGGCGATGCGAGTGCTGCAGCTGACAAGGCAGGCACGAGCGAAACCGAGACAGAGAACCATCAGCAGCAGCAGCAGAGGGCAGAGGTGGGGGAGGCAAGCCCGGATGGGAGCAGCGTGTGGGAGGAGAGGGCACAGAGGCTGCAGGAGGAGTTGGACGGACTCAAGGCACAGGTTCAGGCAGAGAGGACGGCCAGGGAGGCCAGTGAGCGGGCGAACGACGAGTGCGCACGGCGGGTGAGGGAGGTGGAGGATCAGCTGCAGGTAGCCAGGCAGCAGGTGGCAGACGCGGAGAGGAAGGCAGACAGGCACGGCAGAGCAGAGGAGGAGGTATCTGCGCTGCGGGCCGAGCAGGCGGTGCTGCGACGGCAGGTGGAGGACGCACGGAAGCAGGCCGCCGGTCTGGAGAAGGCGAGGCTGGAGCTGGAGACGGAGCAGAGGCGGCTGGCGCAGCAGCAGGGAGCGAGTGGGGACAAGAAGCGAGGCGGCGACAAGGAGTGCGAGCGGCTGCGAGGGGAGCTGCTGAAGGAGAGGCTAGAGAAGCAGGTGGTGGAGGAGCGGCGCGTGCTGCTGGCGGCGCGGCTGGTGGCGATGGAAGGCGAGCTGGCGGCGCTGCAGGAGGTGCGGCAGCGCAACGCGGAGCTGGAGGCCGATGCGGAGACGATGAGGGTGGCGGCGGAGCAGCTGCAGGCCGCTGTGAAGGCCATGGAGGAGAAGATGGCTGCGGCGCATGGGAAGGAGGGCGGAGCAGGGGACGGAGGAGGAGGGGGAGGAGGAGGGGTGGTGGGTGGCGGTGGGGTGGGGTTTGAGATGGCGCAGAAAGCTGGGGGCGGTGGGTTGGGGAACGGTGTGGGTGGGGTGCAGAGAGGGAGTGTGGTGGTGGTGAGTGAAGGGGATGGGAGAGGGAGTGTGAGTGGTGAAGAGGGGATGAAGGGGGGTGATGAGGGGACTGCATGCAGTGTTGCAGGAGGGGCAGCAGGAGGGGCAGGAGGGAGAGGAGGGGAGAGGGAGCCGGGGCGTCAGGATGTGGACTTCTGGAAGAGCTACGGTCTGCCCCATGGCAGGGTGCCTCAAGGGGGGAGGCTCAGGGAGGAGCGAGTGGCACGGGGGGGAGGCGGAGGAGGAGGCGGAGGAGGCGGAGGTGGGGCACCAGTCAAGGCAGCAGCAACACAGACTCTCAGAACTCAGCCGCACCAGCAGCAGTCCCAGCAGCGGGCACGGGCATCCAGCCCCGTTGTAGGAAGGGCAGGCAGTGGGGGCAGCGGTGCAGGGGGGGGAGGAGGAGGAGCACGAGGAGGGTCGGGTGGCGAGGGGCTCAGGAGGGGCGTGAGTCCCCTGCGTGCGTCCACCCATGCGCGCTCGGCCAGTCCTGTGCGCACTGCTAGCCCCGCACGGAGTACCCGGCAGACAGCAGCAGGTGGCGGCAGCGGAGTGGCATTTGGTGGCACTGTGGCGGCACGCCATGCGTCACCAGCACGCACTGGTAGACTGCAGGCGCAGCAGCAGCACAGTGTGGGGGTGGCAGGGATGGGGATGGGAGCAGCAGGGAGGGCAGCTGGGGGGAAGGGCAGTGGTGGCGGTGCGAGTGCAGCGCATGTGGGTACAGGAGGAAGCAGTGTGGGTAATCATCGGCACTTGGGCATGATGGGTGCTTCGCACACTGGCGCCAGTGCTGGCGGTGGCGGTGGCGGTGGCAGTGGTGGTGCAAGCAGCATGTACGGGGGCCGAGGTGGGGGGGCGGCTGCAGTGGCCGCTGCAATGAGGCGGAGCAGTGATCGCAGTAATGCGGCAGTGGTGATGCAAGCTGAGGCCAGCAACGGCCATAGCAATGGCGGCATTGGCAATGGCACCGTGACTGCAAGTCTGCTGGACAGCATGGGCGCCTCGAGCTTACTGGATGAAGGCGCAACAAACCCACTGTTTGAGGACGAAGAGGTAAACCACCTGAGGCCTTCTGTTTGAAGTGTGTGTATGTGGTGACAGCTGAGGCCATCTGTTCAGCTTGAACTGAACCTGTGTGTCTGCTCTTGAACACCCGAAGCCTCTCTCACCCCCCCATCTTCCTGCATTCGTTTATATGCCTCTCTTCCCATCCCCCTTTCATCAGATCTCCAGCAACAGCTCGTGTGAGGGGCTGCCAACCAAGATGGCACAGCACATGCAATTCTTTGGAGCTGGTAGCGGAAACACTGCCATGCCTGGGAGCTCAAGCAGCAATGTCGTTGGTGGCTCCAGCAGCAGCAGCAGTGCCATCAACTGGCATGGTAACCCACAAGCGGTGCAAGCATTGTGGATGGGAAGGGAGGCCCCTGGTGGCCAATACATGCCCTAGATGCGCAGCTGCACGTGCAAGCGAGCATGTGCAGCATATACTACTAGCACATGCTTGTTTTATACAATAATAAACTTGGCATTAGCCTTGGTGTTACAGCAAAGCGTCTCCTGCCCAATGTGGCATTTCCTGCTTATACACGTTAATATAATACTAGCCACTAAGCTGCATGGTGAGATTTGTAATAACACATGTTATTAGATATTTCTTTTGATGTGGTAATAAATATAGACTATCACTAACAATTGCTTTCCCCAGATGATTACACGCATGACACTGGAGCTACACCCCAATGTTTACAGCCTCGGGAATTTCGCCAGGTTCCCGAATCTGGACTCGTCGCGCCGTCACCGCCACCCTCGCAACCTATTTTAGGGCTTAGCGGCAACCCTTCTGTGAAGCTCATCACATCACTCCTTGCTGCTAATCGCTCGCTACGCTACGCTTGTTCCTGCTCGCTGCACGCAGCCGACTGAGTTGGCATCAATGGGACGACGATAAACCACTGCATCTCCAAGTCTCGTGTGCCAGCAGCAAGCTTAGCCTCCCCTCGATTCGCTTCCATGTCGCCTATTCCGATCCATCCTTCGCCATCCACCACCCCCGCTTTCCCCAACCACCGCGCTCAGAACCCGCACCCGCCCGCATCCTCCTCGTACCCTAGCCTCGCAGCCGCGGCTGTCGAGGCAGCGGCATGTGCGGCGGCAGCCGGCGGTATAGGAGCCAGTCGAGTGTTACACGAGCGGCTATGTCTTCGCATAGATGTCGCCAGCCAATCGCTCGCCGGTTTCGCGGAACTACACGTTTCCCTGCCGTCCGCCAAGCTTCCGCTCGTTCCGCCGGCTGGCCGTGACCCGCCGCCGCGCGATCCTTCCGCTGCGCCGGAGTCTCCCTCCAGGTCGCTGCCCGCTTCCGCTCCCCCGCTGGCAGGCGCTTCCGGAACCGCTGACGTGACGCGGACGCGCTCATTGGACGAGTGCCTTGCGCGTGACGTTGGGGGAGCGCGGGCGGGAGCGCAGGCGGCGGGGGAGGGCTGCGCGAGCGCGGAGGATCTGGGTCCCGCGCTGTGCTTCCACGCACGCGGCTTGCACATCCGCCACGTGGCAGTCGACGGCGTGCCCGCGCCGTTCTATCTGCTGCGCCCCGCCCTTCCGCGACCTGGGCGCGGGGGGGGAGACAAGGGCGGGGCGGAGAGGCAGGGGGGCAAGCGCCGGGCATCAGGGGAGAAAAGAGCGGAGCGACAACGGGCGGGGAAGAGCGGGGAGAGAGGACCAGGGGCTGACGTGGATATCGAGTTATCTAGTGACGAGAGCGACGGTGACGGTGGCGGGAGTGACGCGGAGAGGGCGGGGGCAGGAGCAGGCGCGCGGATTGCAACAGGCTCCGCGGTCAAGGAGACAAAGCGGGCGCGCGGAAAACGTCCGCGCAGGGGTGCAGGCGCGGGGGGAGTGGAGCGGGAGGCACAGGCGCGGAGAGGGGAAAGGGGGGCGCGCGTAGGGTTGGGGGAGGGGTGGGATGGAACGGTGGAGGGAGCAGCGGAGTGCGGGTATGCGCAGTACCTGCGACTGGTGCACGAGGAGCGCGTGCCTGAGCTGGTCGTGTGGCTGCCACGTGCCGTGAGAACAGCACTCCACACACAGGCACACGCACAGAAACAGTTGCAGGCGCAGGCTCACGCACGGGGGGGAGCAGCAGGAGCAGCAGGGGCTGCAGCAACCAGCAGTGCGGGTGCTGCAGGTGAGGCTCCCCTTTTCGTGTGCCCGCGCTGGCGGATCTCTAGCAGCTAAATGAGCAGTCTCCGTTGCTGGCTGGTCTGGCTCTTGAGAAAGATAAGCGTGCATTCCCTTCTGCGTTGGCTGCCTCACTCCTTTGCCTCATGCCGGCTCCTCTACCTCTTCCTCTCCCCCTCCCTCGTCCACCTCCCGTGTCTCCACTCCACCCACCCAGCTACCACAGAGGACGGGCATGCAACAGAAAGCAAGGAGAAAGAGAGGGAGAAGGAGAAGGAGAAGGAGAGGGAGGGAGCAGGAGCAGCAGAGGGCGAGGGAGGGGAAGGTGGGGCAGAAGTAGTGGTTCGAGTGAGAGTGGACTATCAGCTGCCACCACAGCATGCCACATCCACCGTACCTCCCACTGCCGCTGCTGGCACTACCACCAGCAACAGAAACTTCAGTGGCAGCGGCAGCGGCGGCAGCAGTGGAGGGTGGGTGAACGGCGGTGTGCACTTTGCGGTGGGGTGGATGCACACGGTGCTGGGCGTGCCTCGCCGGGCGCGGTGCTGGATGCCGTGCGTCGACTCGCCGCGCCACCGCTGCTCCTTCCACCTCTCCCTCTCCGTGCCCCAGCCCCTCCGCGCCGTCGCCCCAGGCACTCTCCTCTCCCTCACTCCTGGCGTGTGGGAAGGTGGGGAGGTTGGGGGAAATGGGGGGATTGGGGGGACCTGCGCCCAGTGCGGCCACAGGGGGAAGGACGGGGGGAAGGGTGACGGGGAGGGGGATGAGGAGGGGAAGCAAGGAGGCGAGGGTGGGCGGATGGGAGACGGCAGAGGAGAGAGAGGAGAGGGAGGAGGGGGAGGAGAGGGAGGAGACATGAAAGCAGCTCTCGCTGCATTATGCCCGACATGTGGAGTCACACCCACCCCGACCACCACCGTCAACCCACACCCCTTCCCTCTCCCGCACCCCCACCTCGACCCCCCCACGGCACCCCTCCACACGTTCACCTACCAAATGACTGTACCAGTCGCAGCGCACCAGGTGGCCATCGCAGTAGGCCCGTTTGTGGAGCTGAGAGACCCGCGCTGCCCGTCGCTCTCGCACTGCTGCTCGCAGCCCGTGCTGGCGTCCGGCGCCCTCGCGCGCACCACTGCCACTCTGGACGCCGCCTTCCGCGTGTTTGAGGACTACATGGGGTCGCCCTTCCCCTTCCCCTCCCACCGCGTCCTCTTCCTGCCAGAGGCGCACGGCGAACCCCCCCACGCTGCTGCTGGTGCTGCTGCGGCTGCCGCTGCTGCCACTGCCACTCCTGGTTCACATGCACGCCCAGGACAGCACCCAGAACAGCAGGGCCAGGGAGCAGTGGCAGCAGCAGCAGCATCATCAGCAGCAAGGTTTGTCAGTCAGGAGGGTGAGACGACTCAGGGTAACCAGTCGCTGTGTCCGCTGGGAGGCCGGTGCGTGGCAGGAGCAGCCCTGGTGCTGGTAGACGCCAGTCTGCTCGTCACAGACCGGGACATCCACACGGCCGTATCGTCGCGCCTGCGCCTTGTGCGCGCCCTAGCCTCCCAGTGGTTCGGCGCTTTCATCTCCCCTGAGAGCCCTGCGGACGAGTGGCTGTTGGAGGGGCTGGCAGGGCACCTGGTTCAAGTGTTTGTGCAGCGCTGCCTGGGGGGCAACGAGGCGAGCTACCGCCGCGTGAAGGCGAATGACGCGGTGTGTGCTGCGGATGTTGACGGCGCTGCTGCGCTCTGCCCCCGCCCCTCGCTCGCTGCTGCTGTCGCTGCCTCCTCTGCTGCCCATGCGGTGGTTGCTGCTCTAGGGGCTGGGGAGGGGAGGGGCAGAGAGGGGGGGGAGGATAAGGGGAAGGGGGGAGGCGGAGCAGGTGGAGGAGGAGGAGGGGAGTGGGGGGTGCATGGGGTAGAGGCGGCTGCAGCGGCAGCATGGAAAGCATGTGCAACCCAATCAACCCAACTATCCCAATCATCGCATCCATTCGCAGCACCCTTTGCGCTGCACCCGTCAGAGCTCGTGTCTCTAGACGCAGCGGCGAGGCGGCTACGAGCGAGCAAGGCAGTGGCAGTGGTGGACATGCTGGCCCGCCAAATGGGCGCCGACGCCTTCCGAAAACTGCTCCAAAGGCTCATGTTACGGTCCCAAGCCACCTCCCGCCGCCTGCGCTCCCTCAGCACCGCTCAGTTCCGGCACTTAGCTAACAAAGTCGGGAACTTAGAAAAGCCCTTTCTCAAGGACTTTTTTCCCCGCTGGCTGCACTCCCCCGGCTGCCCCCGCCTGTCTCTGGCGTTTGCGTACGTGCGGCGCCGGAATGTGATCGAGCTCGCTGCGAGGAGGGAGGCCACGGCCCGCCCTGACCTCACTGCCCTCTCCTCCTCCCCCGACGCCCCCCCCCTGCCCCCTGCCGCTGCTGCTGCCACCGCCGCTGCTGCTGCTGCTGGTGGCGGTGGAGCTGGGGGGAATGAGGGGGGAATAGTGGGGCAGGGAGGTGCTGGTGGTGGGGGGGGAGGGGGGGCAGGGGAGTGGGGGGGCCTGGTGGACGAGCTGGGGTGGGCGGGGATGGTGAGCGTCCGAGTGCAGGAGGCAGAGGGGCACTTTGACCACCCGTGCCTGCCGCTGGGCGGCGACAGCTGTCTGCTTCTGGAGCTGCCGTGCCACTCGAAGCTGGCTCTGCGCCGCGTGGCGCAGGCAGGGAAGAAGGGTGCAGGCGGGGGAGCAGGGGCAGGGGCAGGGGCTGGGGCTGGGGCTGGGGCCGGGGCAGCGCCGGGAGCAGCAGGGAGGGGGGGGGAAGTGGCAGAAGAGGAGGCAGGCGCAGGGGCAGAGGGGGCAGCGGGAGGAGCAGGAGCAGCAGCAGGGGGTACTGGTGCGGCTGGTGGGGGGGGAGTGGAGGGAAAAGGGGGGGGAGGAGGAGACATGCCAGTGCTGTGGATGAGGGCGGATCCGGACAGGGAGTATCTGGCCCACATGTGCCTCACGCAGCCGGTCTCCATGTGGGCGGCCATGCTAGCTCGAGACCGAGACGTCACCGCGCAGACAGCAGCCATAGCAGCATTACAGGAAGTGGGGGATGTGGCAGCAGCCAGCGCTCTCTGTGCGTGTCTCAGCGACCCTTCAGTGTTCTGCCGGGTCCGGGCAGACGCCGCCTTGGCCCTCGCACACTGCTGCATTGCCGCGTCCTTCGCCCCGTCCTCCCCTCCTCCCTCTCTCCCTGCTGCCAACCCCTCTGACCTATCCCCTGCGTTGCCTCAGACCCCCCCTGGCGCAGCCATCACCACCATCACCATCAGCACCGGGGGTGGAACCAGCGGCGGCATCAGCACCAGCAGCAGCGCCCTCCCCGGGTTGGACCTGCTGCTTCGTTTCTACAAGGACCGGTTCTTCGACCCTCTCACCGGCCTCCCCCGCTGCAACGACTTCACCGACTGGGCGGAGTACTTTGTCCAGATCTGCATCCCGGCGGCGGTGGCGTCGGTGCGGGACGGGCGGGGGTGCTCCCCGGGCGCGGCGGTGTCGTTCCTGCTCTCGCTGCTCCTGCACAACGACAACTCCCGTAACGCCTGGGATGACTCGCACTTCCTGTCGACCGTCATCAGTGCCGCCGCGTCCCTGAGGCTACGTCCAGACCATGCGGCCCACCCTTCCCACACCACCCACACCAGCACCCCCGGCGCACATGCATCCCTGCAGGCAGCGTGGCAGGCGGCAGGGATGAGCATCAGCCCGGCTCTAGCGGCCCGGCTGGTGCAGCAGCTGCACCGCTACCTCTCCTTTGACCTCATTCTCCCCTCCTCCCACCGCCGTGTCTCCGCCGCCTGCCTGCACGCCCTCACCCACCTCTCGCTCTCCCTCCCCCCATGTGCCTCCGACCTCCCTGCCTTGCGAGCGCTGCTGCTCAGCCATGCGGGGAGGTGTGTGCGGGAGGCACGTGGGGGGGAGGGAGAGGGGCGGTGGGGCAAGGACTGGGAGGAGGAGGAGGAGGAGGAGGAGGAGAGGGGTGGTTGGCGGGGTGGGGCGGGGAGGAGGGGGATGAGTGGAAAGGCGCGTGGGGATGTTGATAGAAAGGCGGGTTTGATTAGGAACGGGGTAGGTGCAGGAGGTGAAGGGGATAGGAGGGGTGATTGTAGCAGCAGTAGTAGTAGCAGCAGCAGCAGTGGAAGCAGTAGCAGTAGCAGTTGTAGCAGTGACAGTGACTGTAGCAGCAGCAGCAGCAGAGAGAGGAGGAGAACGAGGAGGAAAAGGAGGAGGAAGGGGAAGGAAGATCAGGAGCAGCTGCCACGTTTACTCTCCGTGCTCCCACCTCCCCCCGTGCGTCTAGCGGCTCTATGCTGCCTCGTAGACGTCCATATGCACCAGCTACTCTCACGCACCACGACACACACCCACTCCCACGCCCCGCACTCTTCCCACTCCACCTCCACCCCCCCACCACCGCCCACCGCATCACCAGCACCCGCTCTCTCGCCCTCACAAGTCTCCCTAGACCCTCTACTCCGTCTACTTCTGCACCTCACTGTCGGTTCCCACGCCGACCCGTCCCTGCACGTGCGAGTGAAGCTCCTCGCCCACGCCTCTCCCCACCTCCGCCACCTCTGTGCTCTCCTCGGCGCGCCAACTGTTGCCCTGCCCGCCCGCTCCCGCCCCTCCTCTGCTGGGCCAGTTGGTGGGCGGAGCAGGGAGGGCAGCCGGCGCAGGAGCAGAGGGGGAACGCCGTGGGCTGGGGCAGTGCTGGCGGCGGCAACGGGACAGGGGGGGGAAGGGGGGGAAGCAGGAGAAGGAGGAGGAGGAGGAGGAGGAGGAGGAGGAGGAGGAAGGAGTGGGGGGGTAGGAGGGGGAGGAGGGCTTGTGGTGTCAGAGGGGGTGTTGCATCGCCTCGTTGCCTCCCTCTCCTCGCCTCACGCCTTCTCCTCCCCCCCTCTCCGTCACGCCCTCTTTTCCCTCCTCGCCTCCCTCGCCAACCTCCCCTCTTCCCTCTACCGCCCTCCCCACCTGTACACTCGGGCAGAGGCAGCGGCAGCAGCAGCCATACGAGCAGGGGGAGCAGGCGCTGCTGCAGGAGCAGCAGCAGGAGGAATTCTGAGAGCAGGGGGCTCTGTGGGGGCAGGAGGGTCGTCCCTTAGTGGCGGTCTCTCCAGGCGGCAAGAAGGCGTGTCTCTTACTGTTCGCCTCCCCCGCCCGGCACCCCCCCCTCCCCCTCCACCTCCCCCCCGCCTGGAGCCCATCCGCCTAAGGCTCAATCCGGGGGGAGGGGCTGGGGGAAGCACTACCAGCACTGGCAGCGTGGGGGCAAAGGGGGCAGCATGCAGTGTGGGGGGAGCAGGGGGTGGGGAAGTGGGGGAAACGGGGGGAGTGAGTGTGGTGGGTGGTGGGGAGGCAGGGGGAGGAGCAGGGTCACGGGGAGGGGTGGAGGAGGGGAGGGTGGGGAAGGTGAAGTTGAGATTTAAGGCAGCAGCATCGCCATCATCTGCTGCTAGTGTGGAAGCTGGCAGTAGTGGCGCTATGCTAGGGCCGGGGGTGGAAATGGTGCATGGACAGGGGGAGGGGGGCCGAGGGGGAGGAGCAACAGGGCTTGTGGCGGGGGCAGGGGATGGGGGGGGGTTCGTAGGAGCGGCTAGGAGCAGGGGGGTGAAGACAAGGGGGAGCGAGCGCAGCAGTGATAGTTATGGGGGGGGTGTGGGGGAGAGGAGCGTGGGAGGGGGAGGGGGAGAGGAAGGCAGAGTGGGAGGGGGAGGGGGGTTGGGCAGAGGCAGTGGGGAGGTGAGTGGGGGGAGCTTTGGGGTGGATGGGCGGAATGGTAGTGTGGGGGGGCGGATGAATGCATGGGCGGAGGGAATAGAGCAGGGCAAGGGGGATGAGCAGGGGGCTGAGGAGGGGGCTGAGGAGGGGGCTGCAGGGAGAGAGAGCCAGGCAGTGGGGATGGGACTGGAGGGTGGGGAGGCAGAGGTAGGGGTTGAGGGGCAGGGAGAAGAGGTTGTGGACGGTGGAAAGGGTGAGGAGGGGAGGGGACAAGTGAGTGCAGGGAATGATGAGGAGAGGGGTGGAGGGGGGAGTGGAGTGGGGGAGAAGGGAGGGAGCGAGGGGAGGAGTGACGGGGCTAGGGCTGGGGAAAGGGAAAGCAAGGATGGGGGGGTGAGAAGTACAGGCGGTGAGAGCGGTGGTGTTGTGGCCGGTGTTGGTGGTGGTGCGGATCGAGGGGAGGAGGGGAGGGGAGAGAGAGGCAGCCAAGGGGCAAAGGATAATGAGGAGAGGCGGAGTAAGAAGAAGAGAAAACGAGATGATGGGGAGCAAGGTAAGGAAGACAGGAAGGGCAGCGGGAAGAAATCGAAGGAGGAGAGCGATAAGGAGAGGGAGAAGGAGAAGGATAAGAGTAAGCGAGATGGGAAGAAGGACAAGGAAGAGAGCGAGAGGAAGAAGAAGAAGCGGGAGATGAGGGAGGGGGAGACAGAGGAGGAGCACAGGGAGAGGAAGAGGCGGAGGAAGGAAGAGAAGAAGCTGAAGAAGAAGAGGGAGAAGGAGGAGAGGAGAAAAGGGGAGGCATCTGGAGGCAAGAAGAAGAAGCGTGATGGGGGGGGCAGCAGCGGCGAGAGGGGTAAGGGCGAGCAGAGGGTGCTAGCAGAGGGAGATGAGGGAGGGGTGGAGGGAGAGGCAGGCAGTATGCAGAAGCATGCAGTGGCTGCACAAGACACCAAACAAGACACCCAACAAGACACCCAAGAATCCCAACAAGACACCCAACAAAGCACCCCACCTACACGAGAGCTAGAAGCTTCAGGTGGTGATGACGAGAGTGGTGGGGAGGAGAGGGAAGGGGAGGATGGCGATGAGGATGGGGATGGCACAGGTGGTGAGGAAGGAGGGGGAGGAGTGGGCAGTGATGATGATGGGGGGGATGGGGGATATGGAGGGGTTGCTGCTGAGGAAGGGGATGGCAGTGGGTGGAGTGATGAGGAAGCCCAGGCAGTGCATGTAGCAGTTGGCATGGGGGCTGCTGACTAGTTCCACCGTCACTCCCCAACATCTCCTCCACCTCCCCCCCATGCTGCTGACAGCCCTCATCATACCTGTCCACATCACCAGCATCAGTATCTGCATGACCATAGGCGTCGGGATCTTTCGTCCAGCCGCCAGCTGTCTCCACCACCTAGCCATGAGCCAGCCGGGTCGTTCCCAGCACGTGCATCGTCTCCTTGCTGAGAGACCCGGTTGTTGCACTGGCGTTGATTTGATAGGACCGTAAGAAGTCCTGGTAGGGAGAGAGGACTTCTATTGGAAGTTTTGAGGTGTAGGGCGGTAGGCCCACTAATATTTTAGAAGTTCCCATGAGATATTAGGGGGGAAATATTCAGAGCTATTAATTTGTTGAATTAATTAACAACTGGTTAATTCGTGAGCGTTTTGGGGGAAATTTAAGTAGCCATAGATGCTTCGCATGGTATCCTTTCGTTCAACTTGTTATTCACGTGTTCCGCCAGCCTTCATCCTCGCTACTAGGCCGTTGTCGCAAAATGAACTCCCCTGCGCATTCAGGGTCGGAACAGAAAAACGATCGCGAATGTTAGGGAAACTTGGGGATGGGGGAATTCGTCAGTGCAGTCCAGTGGCTGTGTTCTGTTGCTAAGCGAGTACAGTCGGGCAGGGTGCAGTAATAGTAGGAGCAGCGAGTTTCCGTTATGCAGGTGTTGTGCAGTGGTAATGGTAAGCCGTTCCGAAACGAGTCATTCATGGCGGCATCCTTCAGCTGTCCCGCGCGTCGAGGCTGTGCAAATTGCAGTGCCTGAGTTTGGGAGTCTCTCCTGAATTCGGCCAAGAGAAAACCTCACGTGTGAATTAACGCTCCTTTTGGGGCCGCTAACTTGGCTCTCGTTCCGCTTCCCGCTCCTCCTCACTGTCAGCACACGTTCTGTCCTCTCCGCCGCCTGCCCCACGCGCCTGCTATTCGCCTCGCCCGCGCAACGCTCCCCTCTGACCTTTCCGCCACTGATTCTCCGCGCCGGGCTGTTCCGCGCAGCGCGCGGAGTGGCGGAATGGATCCCATGGCGTACGCGGACGACCTGGTGCGCGAGCTGCTGGTCTTCCGCGGATTCGCGCACACGCTCGCGGCCTTCGAGGCGGAACTTGCCGCGGATAAGCTGCACCCGCCCCAGGTATTGCGCGCATTCCGCTCCGCGCGCTCGTTTCATTGTTCCCCGCACAGCATGCCACCGAACCTCTTCTGCCGCCTCCCGTCGCTCCCCATCCCCCCCCGCGCATCCCCCCCAGGCGCAGCGCGTGGCGCAGCACATCATGCGCGAGCTCATCCCCGCGCTCGACTGGCGCGCGCTCGCACGCCTCTTCCTGGTGCTGCGCGAGCGGTTCGTAGCGCGCGCGGACGGCGCAAGCTGCGCGGCCCTGGAGGAGCTGGAGGTGGGCGTGCAGCGGCTATTCATGGTGACGGCCCTGCGCGCGGGGAGGCGCGCGGAGGTGGTGCGCGTGCTGGAGGAGATGGGGGAGAGCGTGCAGGCGCTGCTCCTGGCCGCGCCTGACGACTGGACGCTCTGGTTCGGTAGGCCGCGCTGGTTACGCGGTAACGTGGTAACTTGGCAACTTGGCAATGACATGCCGTGTGTGTGCTGCTCCTTGTGTGGCCACTGGCCACTGGGCCACCTTATCCGCACTTGTCTCACGCCTTTCATTCATGCCTCCCCCACTCATTGCCTTGCATGCATGCATGCACTGCCCATGCCAGCCGTCCTTCACACACCACAGCCTCGCACCAGTTCCCATCCCCCTCCCTTGCACCCGGTGCTGGCCATGTGCTTCACTTCACGCCAAAGTGGGCGGACTGCCTCACACTGCCTTCCATCCATCCCCATCCGCAACCCATGCCCTTCCCCCTCCCCCTCTCTCCCTCTCCCCCCCCCGTCCCTCTCCCCATCACCAGCGGCTCCGTACATGCGGCATCCGGAGCAGCACCCGGCGCTGGCTGTGTACTTCACGCCTGAGTGGGCGGACTGCCTCACACCGGCTTCCACCCCCCTCCCCCTCACCGACTGCCTCATGCAACCCCCACCTCCCCCTCTCTTCCCCCCCCCCCCACGTCCCCCCACCAGCGGCGCCGTACTTGCGGCACCCGGAGCAGCACCCGGTGCTGGCGGTGTACTTCACGCCCGAGTGGGCGGACTGCCTGTGCGCGTCCCTCACCAACTTCCTGCACCGCCTCTTCCACTCGCTCCATATCCCACCCACCCTCCCACCCACCTACCCACCCGCCCGCGCTGCTCCTCACCTCACCTCACTCCCAACCTCCGCCCCCTCAAACAATCCCACACCCATTTTTGAATGTTGGGCCCCTCCCCCTCCTATCTCCTGTTCTTTCCTGCCTCGCCCCATGCGTCCTTCCCTCCTGTCTCTACTCCCTGCTACGCAGATGCTCTTGTCCCTTTCTGGCCTGTCCGCACCACTGCTCCCCTTGGCTAGGGGACCACTATCCTTCGTCCCTCAACTCGTACTCCCCATGTGCTCCTTAACTCTTCACACCTCCTCCTCTTCTCCCCCCCCCCCCCGCCATCCCTAATCCCCTCATCCACGGTTCCCTTCTCTGCCCTCCGTTCACTCACATTCTCATCTCTCTGCCATTTCATACCTTTCAAACGATCTACTTTGCCGGGCCACTTGACCCTATGCGCTGGCGTGTCATTGGTGTATTGATCCTATGCACAAGGCTCGTCGCGGCCGCAGCAGCCGGCGCTTCTGCGCTTCAGTGAAGAGCAGCGGCGCGCGCACCACTTGCTGGCCGCCAACGACCACGCTCAGCGCCAGATCGCGCGCCTGCGCCTGCTGCTGCGCACCCGCGACAAAGACCTCTCCCTTCTCCGCCAGTAACCCCCCTCACAAACCCTCCCCTCCCCCCCTCTCCCCTCTCCCCACCCTACCGCACCCCACTAGTCCTTGATCTTGAACGGTCCTCAGCCGATCTCTCTTCCTCACACGCCCTTCTAACCCACCTGCTATGCGCTCTCATCTCTCTCCTCTCCATCTTGCCATACAGTTCCTCTCAATTGCCCCCCCTTCTCGTTATGCTCCTTCCTCCACCACTCTCTGATTCACCTTGTCCTTGCCCTCTCTGTCTGTCTCCTTATCTCTCTGTCTCCTCCCATTCCCTTCCAGAAAGCTCCTTTCCTTATCACCAGATGAAGACCCCCTCTTCCCCACCCCACCCCCCTCCGTCTCTCTGCCCCACCACTCCTCTTATGGCTCCGCTGCCTCCTCCTCCCCTCCGCCCCTCCGCGCCTCTCCTCCCTTTCCTTCTCCCCCATCACACTCCCCCTTGCCCTCACCATCTCCCTTGCCATCAGCAGCAGCACCACCAGCAGCAGCAGCAGCACCAGCAGCAGCAGCTAGTGCAGCAGAGGAGGGGAGGGGAGGCCCAGGCAGGGGAGCAGGGGGGGCAGGGAGAGCACATGGGGAGGTGGACGGGGGAGAGCAAGAATGGGTGGGTGGGGATGCTAGGGCGCGGAGGGGAGGGGGGTTGGCAGCAGAGGCGGATCAATGGGTGGGTGATGCGGCGGCACTTGGATACACGACAGCAGAGGAGGTAGGGAGGGGTGAGGCTGCGTCAAATGGCCTCACTGCTGTGCCTGCAACTGATTCCACAACTGCGGATGCCACAGTAGACGCCAATGCTTCCTCGCGTGAGCAATTCGCCCTGTTTCCGCCGGCACCTCTTCCTTCTGCTGCTGCCGCTGCACCTACTGCTACAACCGCCGTGGGGGGAACGGGCGTGGTGGGTATGGTGGAAGGGTGGTTTGGGCGGAGGCAGGTGTGGGGGAGGGCCAAGAATGGTGGGGCTGTGGTGCTGCAGCAGAGCAGTGCGAGCATGGGAGGTGATAGCGCCGCCATCCATGCTGCCTCTCCCCTTGTGTCTGCTCCGCCTCTTTTGACCTCTGCTGAGGCTGGAGCAGGTGAGCGGAGGGAGGGAAGCAGCACTGCGGGTAGCAGCAGTAGCAGTAACAGCAGCAGCAGCAGCAGCAGCAGCAGCAGCAGCAGCAGCAGCAGCAGAGGAGGAGTGGGAGTGCATGCGATGGTGGGGGGAGGCAGCATGTCCCTGGTAGCCTTATCTCGCGAGATAAAGAGCGCCCGCCAGCAGGCGAATCTGCTCACAGCCAACAGCGCTGCAAGCAATAGTGGCGGCGGCAGTGGTGGCAAGAGCAGCAACAGCAGCAGTGGTGGTAGTGGTGTAGTAGAGGGAGGGGGACGGAGGGAGGAGCTGGGTGTGGGTGATGCGGAAAAGGATAGTGGGAAGGGAGAAGAGAGGGAGGCAGTGGGGGGAATAGAGGCAGTATTGGGGGGGAGAGGGGGTGTAGGGGGACACGGGGTGGTGTGGGTGGGGGGGCTTGTGACACAAGGGGCGGAAGCAGGTGGTGGGGCGGGGAGAGGGGCTGGTGGGGGAGTGCATGGGGGGAGAGCGGAGGAGGGAATGGTTGGCGAAGGGGCTGGGGAGTTAAGGGGTAGGGAGGGTGCAAGGGAGGGGGGAGGTGAGGCGGGTAGCAGGACGCAGAGTGGGAATGGTGTGAGTGAAAGGGAAGGTGTGAGAGGAGGGGTGGTGGATGGGAGAGGAGGGGAGGGGCGAGGGGGAAGAAACGGCAGTGCTGGATGGGAGGTAGCAGAGGCAAGGGATGGCCGTGCTGATGCTGATGCTGATGACATACTGCATGCTAAGTCGCAGGTACTCTTGTTCGTGCGAATGTGAATTCGCAGTTGGATGGCATGCATTCTAATTCAATGGAGTGAGGAGGAGCATGGATCCATGCACTCCCCATCCGCGGAGGAGCATGCATGCACCCTCCATGGTCCATCTCCCTTTCTGAGCAGTGAGCTCTCCCCTCCCCATCCCGTGCATGTGGAGGTTCACCCTCCACATCCCGTGCAGCCTCCACATGAAGCATGCATTCTTCATTTTGGGCATCCTCAAGGCTGCTCTTGCAGAGGAGACTATTTTTGAGGCGCCTCAAAAACAGGCCCATCCCGTGCATGTGGAGGTTCGCATGCATTCTTCATTTTGGGCAGCCTCAAAGCCCCTCCTGCACCTCTTGCACCTCTCACCGCAAGGCACTCTTCCATCCTTACTCGCTCTGTCTTCTCGTTTGTGTATCCATGGTGCATGGCATGGCATGGCATGGTATGGCATGGCATGGCATGGCATGGCATGGCATGGCATGGTATGGCATGGCATGGCATGGCATGGTATGGCATGGCATGGCATGGTATGGTATGGTATGGCATGGCATGGCATGGCATGGTATGGCATGGCATGGCATGGTATGGCATGGCATGGCATGGCATGGAGCAGCAAGAGGTGTATGCAGCGCATGCGGGCCCCATTACTCGCTGCCGCTTCTCCCCCTCTGGAGCCAACATCGCGAGTGCTTCTGCCGATGGCAGCATCAGGTCTGCACAAGCATCCCACTGCTGCTCATGCCCGATTACTCTTGACTCGGCTCAAAAAACATCCCGCTGCTGCTCATGCCCATTCTGACCACTGTTGCCCCTGCCACCTGACACACCATGTCATGCCACACGCCCTACAATCATCCTCTGCAACCACCCTCGCTGTTGCTGATGCCCTTGCTTCTTGTGCAACTCTTTCAAATATTTCAAATCTTTACCCTCGCCCCCGGCCGTGCCCATCCCTCTCACCCGCGCACCTTCTACCTTTCTGCTCCCTCCCAAAAGCTCCGAAATTCAGCAGGAAGTCTATTTTTGAGGCACCTCAAAAATAGACTCCTCGGCAGGAATGTGCCGAATTTCGGAGCTTCCCCCGCGCACCTCCCACGCACATTCCTGCCGAATCTCGGAGCCTGCGATCTCCCCCTGGCAGCATCGATTCTCGAGTTGACTCGAAGCTCACTTACCACCAATCCTCTCCGAACTCAGAATTGGACACAGAACTCACTCCAACCAGTCCTCCTTCCGCAACCCCTTTCCGTCCCGCGCTCCTCCCGCCCTCCATGTGCTTCTATGCAGAATATGGGAGCCGGAGATCTCCCTGGCAGCAGCGGAGGGGCGGGGTGGTAGCGTGGTGGTGAGGGGGCAGAGGGACGCGGCCATACTGGGGGATGCCCCGGTGCAGGCATTGGAATGGGACGCCAAGTCGGACCGACTGGTGTGTAGTTGTGTGCACACTTGCATGCATGCATAAATCCATCCATCCATTCATCCACCATGTTTTTTTACTCCCATCGCCGCATGCACACTGCACTGCTCTACCATGGGAGTTGCGCATGCATGTGTCGTGTCGTTTAGATCCCCCCTTGCCACGTGCACGCCCATCCACACCCAGATGAGAGCTGCTCCTTGTTCTTCCCGTGCCCACCTCTGCCATTCTTGAATGTCTCTCCCCGCCTCCTCGCCCTGTGCATGCGTTGGGTGCGTGGCAACAGTTGCTGGCAGGGCTGGCAGACGGGCATGTGAAGGTGTGGAACGCGCACTCCAAGCACATGCTCTCGGACGTGCAGCACCCACAGCCCTACACCAGGTGCGGTGAGAGACAAGTTGCGGTTTTTGTAGCATTCTCAAAAGCCAAACCGGCCCACAGCCCTACACCAGGCGAGATGAGACGGACGGACGGAGTACATGATTGGAGCAGCCTTGCACTTCGTTGACATCAACATGCATCTTGATTTTAAGGCTCTGGTAGTATGGGTGTCCTAGGGGGTACCAATGCGTGTGTGACTGACAGTGTGGTTATGCATGTATGCATGAGCATAAGCATGTGCCTCACACGCTTGGGGCATACACTCTACTATACTCATGCTCTTTCTTCCCCGCAGGTTGCTGGACATTCGGTCCAGCCCAGCAGAGCACCTCTTCGCATGTGCAGCAGCAGCAACCGACCATCACCACCACTCTGCACCCCTCCCATCCTCTCCTCGATCCACGTGAGTCTCCTTTTCCATATCACTCTACCATACCCGCCTCCTAGTTTCTCGTATCCCCACTCTACACCTTCCTCTGGCACATGTGTGCTTGCTTCTGCTCTTCTCCCCCCACACTCACCCCACGTTCCACACCTTCCCTATCCTTTGCTCCTGCACCCCCCACATGCCCCATTGTTTCCGGTTGGATGATACAGTGCTGTGATTGAGCCGCCTCAAAATTATATTCCTCCTTCTCTATCCTTGCCTCCTGCACCACCCCCCCTCATGCCCCATTGTCGCCGGTTGGATGACATGCCGCTGTGTTTGAGCCCCCTCAAAAGTTGATTCCTCCTTCCCGATCCTTTGCTCCTGTCCTGCACCCCCTCATGCACGAAATGCCGCCGGCCTCAGTACCCTGCATCCTGCATCCACCCATCAGCCCCCCCTCTCAGCCTCACCCCATGGCTGCATATCCCTCTGGAGCCTCCGCAACATGTCACTCCAGGTACATTTCGCACCCACCCTTCTCCGTATGCACACATGTGGGCATGCACACTTACACCCACAAAACACACTTCCACACAAAACACACTTCCACACATGCACACACAACCCTCTGAACTTCTGAAAATCATATGTATATCGAATCGATATATATGTATGTATGTATGTATACATACATACATACATGTATACATACATTCATACATACATACATACATACATACATACATACATACATACATACATACATACATACATACATACATACATACATACATACATACATACATACATACATACATACATACATACATACATACATACATACATACATACATACATACATACATACATACATACATACATACATACATACATACATACATACATACATACATACATACATACATACATGCATGCATACATACATACATATATACGCATGTATCGGTTTCCTAGTTTTTTTCTCGGTCTGACTCCCCTCTGCCGTGTGTGTGTGCATGTGCAGGGCTATCTGCCCTTGGGTGAGTCGCCGCCGCTCATCACATCCATCTCACTCAACCACAACGGCCGAATGCTCGCTGCTGCTGCTGCCGACGGCACCCTCAGACTCTTCGGTGACCCTCTTATACCGTCAACCCCGTCCGGTTCCCTTCCCTATTCCGTCTCCCATCCCCATTTCCATCCCCATTCCCCTCCCGTTCAACCTTGCCTTCTGCACCCTTGTTCTTTGTCATCGCTCTTCTCCCTTCATCTCATCTACCTGCTCCCGCCTCTCTCACCCATCCGTCACCCCACACACACACACACACATGTCTCGTCTCTCCCCTGTCTCACCCCTCTGTCTGCAGACGTCAACGCCGCCTCTCAGATCGCCTGCTGGCCAGTCACCTTACCAGGCGTCTCCCCATCCTCCTCTGCCTCCTCCTCCGCCTCCGCCTCCCCCCTGTCCCCTGCTGTCTGCGTGCGCTTCCTTTGGGACCACTCCTCCCTCTTCTCACTCTCAGCTTCAGGCCAGGTAGCTCCTTCACCTGCTCCCATTCCTGTCTTCGTTTCCCACGTCTTCTGCTCTTCCGCTCATCCCCATGCCTTAATTCCACACTCTCCCTGCACCCTCGCTGCTCCCGCCTATTTCTCCACCCACCTCCTAGGCCTCCTGACCCTCGCCCTCCCCATCTCCCTGCCAATTTCTGTTCCCGAGGTATGTCCACCCTTCACCCACGTCCGCTACCCATTCAACCATCTCTGCATGGCAGATCACGGAGTGGAGCCTGCACAAGCAGGGCCAGTTGTTGCGCCACTTCGATGCCGCCAGGTGCCTGTTTTTCACATTGCTAGTGTGATCTCAGCCTCTCCCCTTTCGCTAATTCTCCCCCCCCCTCCAAAATACAACTTCCACCATCGCCCATATCGTCTTCCTTGCGTTTCCCTTTCAACATGATTCACTGAGGCCCAAAACACTCAGGACACACAACAGGTTCAAGAGCTTCTTCCGCTGCATATTTTCTCCAAATGCGCTCACTCGTGCCCCCCGTTCCGTTGTCCACTGGCAGTTTTTGCACGCACCCACCAGGAAACACAGCACCAGTCCCATCCACTCAAGGCACTGGGGCCGCCCAGTCCCACTCGCACTCCCAGTCGCAACCCCCGCCCGTGCCTCTTCTCTCGGCGCGCTCTCTCCTGCTGCCCCATGAGCTCACCATTGACTCCCAGGGCTCTCACCTCCTCACCACCTCCTCCTCCCACTCCCCTCAGCTCCTCAATGTAAGCCTCGCATGCTTCTTGCTCCTCCTCTTCCCCTCCCTCCCTACCTCTCCTCCTCCTTCCCCCACCTACCCCCCCCTCTCTCCCGGACTGGGCGTCCACTTCTCCATCCTCTTCCTCAATTTATAGGTCCTCTTTCCCATTGCGCCCCCACTCAGTTCAAACCGCTTCATGCACATATTCTCTCCCATTGTTTCCCTAAACGCGAATTCGACATCCGAATCTTCCCTTGAACGTCCCACCCACCCTCCCGTGTTGCCCTCTCCCCCGCCACCTCTCCCTCTACTCCTTTCTCCCCCCTCCCCCCGATTCCTCCCCTCAATTCAGCTGCACCTGCCGCACCCAGCGTGGCACGGAGCGGCCGCCCATGCAGCGCCGGTCACAACAGTGGACTGGCATCCCACCGCCCTCGCCTTTGCCTCGGGCTCCGCGGACCACACTGTGCGCATCGTCTCCCTCAAGTAGTGCCGCCTCTACGCTTCTCTCCCTCCAAGTTGGAGACGTCTCAATTGTCAAGACTTCCGGCAGACAGGCACCGCAACGGTGACTTTTTGGAATTCTACCAAATCGGCGTTCGCCTCGGGCTTTGCGGACCATACTGTGCGCGTCGTCTCCCTCCCTCTTGTGATGCCGCTATCTTCCCTCCCCTCCATCATGCGATACCTAGTTCCGGTGGTGGCTGTTGGGTGTGGTGTGGTGCCTCCCCTATGGCTGTGTGCTGGGTAGGGCCCCTTGTAGGCGGGATGTCCTAGAGTAGCGAATTGAACTAGAAACAATGCAGTACACAAGCCTGTCTAGCCTATAACTTCTACATACAATGCATTTGTTTAAGTTGAGACACCCCCTAGGCTAGACAAGGGGCAGTGCCTAGCAAGCGACACGCAGCTCAGGGCGGCAACACTAGTCCAACCTCTGAGGCAAGGGTCCTCCGAAGATCAGCAACTAGAGTACATACAAAACAGAAGTAACCCAGGGCGGCACTACTAGTCCTGCCACTGAGACGAGCCACAAGGCCAGTCAAGATAATATAAGGAGTAGTACACAATCAGGGTCCTAGCAAGTGAGGAGCGACTGGAACTAGACCAAGCTGTACGCAGTGCCGCTGATGATCTCTAAGCGCAAGCGCCTTCGTAAAGATATCAGCTGTGTCGGCACCGGAGGCCAAGTGTACTACGCGGGCCCGGCGGCGCTGCTGTAGCTCGCGCAGGAGGAAGTACCGCAGCTGGATGTGCTTCGCTCTGCCCTCCAGCCGAGGCTCCTGACACAGGAGGATCATGGCCCTGTTGTCAACATACAAGACCGGGGAAGAGCTAGGCCGCTCACCTAAGTCTGTGAGCAAGAACGTCAGCGAGTAGAGCTCCTGTGCCGCCATGGCACCTGCGTAGATCTCAACCTCACTGCTAGACTGTGCAACGACGAGCGGATAGACCTCGACGAGATAGCACCTGCACCAAGACTAAAGCAGTAGTCCAGGGAGGACCTGGGCGTCTCAGCATCGTCCGCCCACGAAGCGTCTGTGTGCCCGGTGAGAACCACTGGCCTGCATCCTCTCAGCATTAGCCCCATGCTTTATGTACCTGCTAGACAACGCAAAACCCTCTTAGCGGCCGACCAATGTTGGGGTCGGTATATAAGTATCGCCACAAAGCGAGCGAGGATACTAAGAGGGTATGTGAGATCTGGACAAGTGCAAATCATCAGGTACATGAGGCAACCCACAAAATCTGCGTACAGACCACTGGGCTCAACTGGCCCGTCAAGGACTGGAACCGAGAGCCTGTAACTGGCAGAAGGGTCAGCTGTGCGGAAGAGAACTGAAGGCCGAACCTCTGAAGGACCTGGCACACCAAGTGTGACTAAGATACGCTTTGATACCATCTTAGATTAGCGAATTGAACTAGAAACAATACAGTACAGATGTGATTTTGGGTTGCGTTGTACCCTCTAAGAACGTAACCATGTCTAGCCTATAAATTCTATAAACAATGCATATACATATGTTGACAATGTAATCTTCTGAACCTCTGAAGGACCTGGCGCACCAACCTCCGAGAGTGATGGTGCGCGCTGCTGTGTCCCTGGAGATCTGCAGGCCAAGGTAGCGGCGCAGCTCTCATAGGTCAGTGCAGGTGTGTCTTCTCAGCAGCTCGGCCTTCACGGAGGCCAGTGCGTCTCTGTCTGCAGTAGCGAAGACCGGGTCGTCTAAGTAAACTAGGATGTAGAATGGAGTCTGGCCTGAGCGAACGAAGAGTGAAAGGTCAGCATAGGATGGGAAGAATTGAAGGTCTGCTTGTGTGGTACGCAGCGTGTCGTGCTACTCGCGAGGCGCTTGCTGCAGACCGTAAACGGGGCACAGGAGGAACCATTGGGTCCCAAGAGGAAAAGTGTCAGAGAAGCCTGGGGGCGGCGCAGGTAGATCTGCCCGTGCAGATTGCCCTAAAGAAACGTTGTGGAGAATTCCAGTAAGTGAAGATCGTTATCGCGTTGTGCTACTATGTAAAGCAACGCCCGAAGAGTGGTCATCTTCGGGGTCGGGGCGAAGGTCTGAAAGACGTCAACACCCTCGCGCTGATTGAAGCCTCTAGCAACGTAGCGCGCCTTGAACACCGGCGGCTCTCCAGGAGGGCGCTTCACCTTGAAGAGCCACTGGCCATCGACCACGTTCGCCCCAGGTGGGGGAACTGCGTCGGCGTAGGTGGCGGTGGATCTCCAAGATGCCATTGCTGCGTCCATGGCAGCTATCCAATGAGAGGACTAGGGTCTCGAAGTCACCTCAGCGTAGGTGCGAGAGGTCGAGATGTCAAGGGCGTCTGGGTCACCCTAAGGAGCTAGCAACATGGAGCAGAGATGAGGAGCGACCTCTAACCAAAAACCTAGCTCATACTGTCTGTCCTCTAGGACGTCGTTGCCAAGTGCAAATGCACCCCTGGTGGACGGAGAACGGGCTAGGTCAGAGACCAAAGTTGTGGTGTAGTCAAGACGGTGGGTAGTAGCAAAGTCAGCGACAAGAGTGTCGAGACTGGAGACAGGAACCGACGGGTCGGTAACAAGAGAGGCGAGGATACGAGGAACAAGAAGGCAAGCATTACGGAGGAAGTTAGAGAAAGGAGTCGAGGAGACAGCAAGGGACAACTGAGGAAGCGACGGGAGAAAAGGAGGGGGAGAAGCACGAGACACGTGAGAACGAAGAGATATAGGGTGAACACTCGGAGCGGGAGAGACGGGAGGAGCACGAGAGGGATGGTGAGACCACCAGAGAGAGGGGGTTGTAGGGTCAGTGGACAACGGAGGAGACACAGGGGTAGAACGAGGGGGGGACCGAGCCAGGGACGAGTCTAGCGGAGGAAACACAGGACCGTAGACAGGAGGAGGAGGCGGCGCTTGGGAAGGCGCGGGCGATCGGTCGGGGGAGGGGAGACCGAGAAGGCGAAGGGTGAAAACTGGCGGCAACTGCTGCTGCTGCGGCTACTGCTGCTGCTCCGCGCCCACACCAGGACCTCCAGCCGCTCCACGGCTACCCCCGGGACTCTCCACAATAGCGCCCCGAGGACTAGCACCCCCGGGGCTAGAGCCCTCTCCATCATCCGCGCCACCCCCAGGACCGCCAGGACACGACAGTACCCCAGGACTAATGCCCCCATAACAAGTACCCCCCCCTTTTCAGCACCTCAAGTGCCAACTCCCTCAGAGCCAACTTACCCTTGCTGCTGCGGCGGATGCTGCTGCTGCTGTTGCTACGGCGGCGGCGACTGCTGCGGCTGCGGCGGCGGAGGAGGCACAGGGGCCGAGGGTGTAGGCGCCGCAGAAACAGGCAGCTCACCCAGAGCCTCAGGGCCCTTAGAGTCTTTCTCAACTTGTCATTGTTCTCTGATCTTGCGTCTTTCCCCACTGTCGCTGATCTTGCCACTCACCTGCGTGCTCTTGAGACCAGAACAGAGGCACAGCTCACTGTAATTCCTCCCCCCCTTGGCGCTACCCCTTTTTTTCTTGCCACGCGCCTCCCCAACCGCCTAGCCACTGCCCACGATGCCTTTCCTAGTCTCCACCTCGCTGAACTCACCCTTACCGGCTTTGTCACCACCCTGTCCGCGATAGAGACCCGCCAGCGCACTGTTGCTCAGCCTAGCAGTACTGCGGCAGTCCATATTTTCTAGGGTTGTGCTCCCTCCCACTTTACTTACTTTGACGTTTCCGCTGCTGTCGCTGAGACAGTCCATGTCGCCGAGACCACCGCTGCGGCCTCGGCGCAGCCTCGTCAGAGTAAGGGCCGTCGCTCCAAAGGGGGTCGCAAGGGAGGGAGGGGTGGCGGGGGTGGCGGAGGCGGTGGCGGTGGTGCTGGCGCAGGAGGTTCTGACGAGGGGGTGGGCGCTGACGCCCCAGAGTAGCAGCAGCAGTGGGGGGCCCCGCCGTTGTGGTGGCCCGGCAGCTTTGGTGGTGGTGGTCGCGGAGGCTGCCCTTGCAGCTCGACGTCGGGTGGCGGATCCAGCTCAGTGAGTTGCCAGTACCAGATCCAGTCTGGTCCCCTTCGTGGCACCATGTGTGACCGTCTCGGTCACACCGCTGCCGCTGCTAGCGCTGCCTTGACGACCTCTTCTGTCTCCGCTTTGGGCCCACGCCGTCCATCCCGAACTGGCGCAGCCTGGTACACCGTCATGTGCCGGTCTTTGAGTTAGACATGGATCAGATTCACTTTGATACCATCTTAGATTAGCGAAAGAAACAATGCATTACATGTGTGATATAGGGTTGGGTTGTACCCTCTAAGAACGCAAACCTGTCTAGCATGTAACTTCTACATACAATGCATATGTATAAGTTGACAATGTAATCTTTGCTGTTGCATGTAGGTGCGTGGTGTACAGCCTTAGGTTACTAGAAGGAAGAAGTACGTCTGTTGTTTGTGAGCACTTATTGCAGGTATGAGTTGCGACGTTGGGTGAGTTGTTGTACTGAGAATAAGATAACCAGAGTGCCGTACCAAGATAAGGCAGGCTGCAGGCATCAATCAAGCCAAGCGAACCACAGAATATTCAAAGATATGAGGCCAACGAATCTTTCCTTTCTTGCTTCTCATTGTCGACATATTCTGAACCAATCTGAACCCTAAACACACAAGATGAAATCAAGGAATCGTGTACAGCCCAGTCCATCTACAAACGCATGCAGACCAGTCCGCACTTAGCAGTGCATTCCACACACTAGTCCCTCGCTCGCCTCACTCTCGTCACCTCATAACTGGCAGGGAGATGAAACCTGCCGTATACACTGAGTTGTGCGAGGACCCGCCACTCTCTCGCTGCTTGTGAGGTAGTCCTTGATACCGCTAGCATGCGGATGCAGAGTGAAAGTTATAGTACCATGCCTGCAGAATTGCACAGACTGCTGCTCATGACATGCACTCCATGCCACAGTGCCACTCCCATGATCTTCCAGTCACCAAACATCGCATACCGGTAGGTATAGGGCACACCGCATAACCACATGCACCATGCAGCACCCAGCTTTCCACCACCACGCCGCAGTCAACTGCTTTAGCTGCCACGGCAAAACACACACCACCACCACCACCACCACCACCACCACCACCACCACCACCACCACCACCACCACCACTCACACAAGGTCATCGACATCAGACAAAATCCGATAGTTTGTCTGATTTTCAGTTTTTTTTTTTGGCGTTCATCTGATTTTTTAGAAACCCAATTATTGAATTTCTGATGCCCTAGAAAGTGATTTTGTATCCTTCTGATATTTCAGAATGGGTGTATGCGTCCTTCTGGTTTTACAGACTTAGCCAAATTTCTCATTTGAAACGGATCTCT